TCACAGGGGATCTGTGCAGGAGATTAATGGTCTGCTAATATACAAAATATCAGATATTAAATGTGTAGTATTTCTAAAATAGCTGCTTTTATTAGACCCAATTTATGAACCTTCCTAGGTTTTCTTGGTTTTACCTGTTTCCTGGGCCCTCAACTGGGTGGACAGAGAGAACCCTTACCCCAACACCACTGCCCTGCTTTTAAATGTCAGGTGCTGACCCCGCCTCCTCTGGGGAGGCCAACTTCAGCGTGTCCACAATTTTACCCACCACAGTGTGAGCTGCAGTGACCACAGTCCAGACATGAGTTTCCATGACACTCGCAGAGGCACTGTTTTCCCCTGCCTTGTATTTCAAGACTCAGGATACCATACTGTGAGGCATGACCTCTGGCTTCCTTCATGGCTGTCCTCCATGGCCGAGGGGCCAGGTGCACAACCAGAAGAAACATGGGAGTTAAAGCCTCATGGGGAAAGCCCATAAATGAATTCCTTCGGTTCTTTTTCTCTGATGGATATGTGGTTCTGTAGAAGATACTAGGAGATCTGAGCAAGTGGTTCTGTTTTCTGTTCTAAAGCTAGGTCCAAGGCAACCACCACCTCCTATCTATTTTCCCTTCTTCATTGTTTCACTTCCCCTTTTCCTTCACTCTTAACTGCTCTGCCGCTGCACCCCTCTTCCTCCCCAAAAATGTATTACTGTGTACCTTACCCCTGTTGCAAAGACCTAGTCCTCCATCCACAACAACAGTGAAACAAACAAACAAACAAACAAAACCAGAGCCTGAAACAAAGACAGTACCCCCTAGAGATTCAGAGTTTCGACCCAATGTATGAATCCTCAAGGAGTGGATGTCCACTGTAAAACATCAGATGAGGGTTTTTTGAGTAAAGAGAGGGTAATCCTAAAATTACTCTTTTGTTCTTCTTTTCTGTTTTAACAAAGTCAATACTATTAAAATCTCAGTGGATGCTTAGGAGAAATCCCTACAATGTTACAAAGAGTTTCCTTTTATGACTTTCACAAATTGGCTCAGAGCCAAGAACACTGTGGGGAGGCACTGAATTTAAAAACAATGCAGAGGAGAATGTACACCCTGGAAGCTGCTTTTCCTGAAGGAACTCATAAAGGAAACTGGCATGTTGCAAGTTATAGGAAACATTCTTGTTTTTCAAAAACAAATTGACTTGCAATGTAGCTCAGTCACATTTAGGCCAGCAGTTAGGAGCCAGGTCTAGTCTTGAGTGTCACTGATGGGCAGGCTAGAGAGTCTGGCATGAACACAAGTGAAGTTTGTCATTATTGTCACAGTTAGTGCTGATGGCTGCAGTCAGTGTGGTCTGTAGCTGTCAAAGTGGGTCCAGGGGTAGTTCTGTTCTTCTTGTTTTATGCTTATAGAATGGCCTCAATTTTCTCTTCTGTCTGATTAGTCTTAGCATCTGGATTTCTTTTTGCCATGTTCCATTACAGAGGCTGCCTCTCTGCCTTTCTCCCCCACATCTGGAATCCAGCCAAAATGTACCAGAACAAGATGCTTCTAACATTTGAACCCTTTTGTAAGAGTGCTGATTGCAACTTGGGTAACTTCAGTTTAATTCAAGGTGGATGATTTCTGCTGCTTTTGGGGAAGAAAATAAATGTCTAAAAATAAAACTTGGGCATAAAAATAGGGCCAAATACTCATTAACTGCCTCACTTAGCTGAATGCTGAAATTATTTCAACAGAGCTAAATCAGGCGTTTGTGTAGAAGAGGTTGAGTATGTTTTTTTATTCATAGTACTTTATCTTAGATGATAAATGGGTTACTGTAATTTGTCATTTTATTCAAAAGACATGAATTAAATAGCTCTCAAGAGCCTAATTTTCAGCTCATGGTGACCCTTGAATTGGAGGATTGTGTTCACAAGTTTTTTAGAATGTATGTTGTGGGCTTTTATGGGAGAGGCTGGAAGGGCAGGCTGGACCAGGAGCCAGAGTATGGAAGGCTTAGTGGGCTAGGGTTAAAAATTTGGATCTGAGTATGGTGGGAAGCCACTGAAGGGATTTCAATAGGAGGATGTCATGGAATGATTTACATTTTAAAAATATGACTGTTGGCTCCCGCATTGATAGTGGACTGACTGTAAGCAGTAACCAGCCAGATATCTAGGTATGAGATGACAGTGACTTTTGAAGTGACAGTAATGGTAGAGTTGCTGAGTGCACAAATAATGGAGTTTTAGGCCATTAACAAAATAACTGGGAGTAATTCTGAGTAATTTTGTTGTCTTGTTTGGGGTAAGGCAGGGAGCAATGGCAAAGGGAATGAGAAAAAAATTCAAGGGCTCATATTGATTCTATGGGGCCTATAGGCATCTAAACGGACAGGTCAGATGGAAAATTGAATATATGACATTGACTCAGGTAAGTTTCAGAATCCTTCACATACAGAATGACATTCAGAGCTATGGAATAGAAGAACTCACCTAGGGAGAGAGTCCAGAGATAGTATAAGACTTGAGAACTTCCATTATTTCTACATAAATAGGGTAAGCAGAGACTGAACAGCAATGAGGAAGAAGAAAAAGAAAAAAAAAAAAAAAACCAGGAGAATGAGTTGGCTTGAAACAAGAAAAGAATCTTCCATCAGAGAGATGAGGGCCCATTATGTTGAATGCTGCTGTGAGACTGGGTAAGATGAGGACAAATCATATCTACTGTTCCTGGCAACGTGGAGGTTCTTGGAAACACTGACAGGGGCAGTTTATGACCTGTCACATAAACAGAGGCCACAGTGGATTGAGAGGAAATAGTAAAAGGGAAATGGGGGGTGGTCCTTTAGACAATTCTTTCAAGAAGTCAATAGAGCTAAAACATAGGTAGATAGCTAATCAAGAGCCAGAGGAGAATATCATGGGGCTTTTTCCTTGTTCTTAAGATGGGACGTGTTGGGGCTCAGGGGCTTGATCTAGTGGAGAGAGAGAACCTGATGATACAGTAGAAGAGGGGATATATTTGCCGGGACAGATCTCTTGAGTGTAAAAAATATGGGAAACAGGGCAAAAGTGAAGGATTTGGCTTTCTGTAAGAGCAGAAGGGGAGACAGAAAGAGTAGACACAGCTATTAATGGCTTGGTTGAACTGGTGGTGGAGTGAGGGAGTATCCATAATTGTCATTAATGAAGGCAAAAGCATCAGCTGAAAGAGACATGGGGGGGGAAGAAATACTGGAAGTTTCAAGAAAAGTTAGCAAATATTGGAGTCATTATGAAGAATGAGAAAGTGAACCTGTATAGTAAGATAGTGGACATGGAATGCCCCAAAGTTACATTAAGCAAGGTGGATCTGAGTTAATTGTTGCTTGGGAAAAAATGCTTAATTCTTGTTTGCTTGTTTGTTTTATCAAGTAGCCTATAAAGATAAAAAGTGTTATTCCATATTTACATATGTTCATAGCAGAAAATGAGTTTAATGATTACTTGTAATCTTACTATTCAGAAATAAATTGTGATACAACTTTTCATACATTATACATGCAAATACATCAATAAAAAAATAGTCTTATTTTCATTACTAAGGTTATTTTAAATTTTTTGCTTTGCCAAACATTATATCTGTTGCTCTGAGCTACTGGAATGATAACTTTGTCATACTGCAAATGTATTCCCTGATTATTTGTATTTTAATATGTTCTTGTTGCTTTTCCAATTTTTATGTAGATATATCTATCATAAAAAATGTATAGTCCTGTTTAAAAAAGGCCCTCTCCCAGGGCCATACATACAATTATTTTCTTCTAGTATTTAAAAGGTAAAGATGAAACTATAAATTATTCTATCAGGTTTAATTTTGCTGTGATGAAGGACTATAAGTGTATTTTTTTAGAATAGTCTTAGTTATTCTTAAATCTCATATCCTATAATATATTTATGACACAGCTTTTTCATCGTGTGGATCCCAAGTGATTTCTTTAAAATTTTCTTTTAGAGATTTTAAAAACTAATTATATGTTATTCTTTAAACAAAATATATCTTAAAAGGAGTAAAAATTATCTATAATCCCAGCACAAGAGAAAATCAGTTATATCTTACTTACTTGGAATTATATTGCATGTATACAGTTTGCAATCTATATTTTCTTATGTGTTTTAGTTTTTGAAATACTCATTTTGAATCATGATTTTATTTTATTTTTTTTTAAAGATTTGATCTATTTATTTGATAGAGACAGTGAAAGAGGGAACACAAGCAGGGGGTGTGGGAGAGGGAGAAGGAGGCTTCCTGCTGAGCAGGGAGCCTGATGCAGGGCTTGATTCCAGAACCCTGGAATCATGACCTGAGCCGAAGGCAGACGCTTATCGACTGAGCCACCCAGACACCCATGAACCATGATTTTAATAACTGACTTATGATTTGTACTATTATTATAAAACATGAGAATATATTTCCAGATTTTGTTTTGTTTTTTGTGTGTGACTATAAATAACACCATAGTTAACATCATTGGTGTTAATCTTTAAATGAATTTGTTTTTAGTATATTTACTATAAAAATACATGTCCATTGTGGAAAGCTTTAAAAATAACAGAAACTGTTATCCAGAGAACTACTGTTGAACTTTTATCAGATCTTTATTCATTCAACAGCCAGTTTTCAATACCAGTTGTATAGTAGGCACTGCTTTAGATGTGAAATCCATTCTGCAGAGTTAACATCCTAGTGTATATTTAGTGATATGTCCTATCTGTCTCTGATCTGCAGAAATGTATGTGCTTTTAAAAAGGGACTATGCTACTTACAAGTTACACTGTATTCTGTTTTTTTCTCCTATAACATTAAGACCGTCTTTCGATGCCATTGAACCATCTATTACAATATCCTCTTTAGTGGCTGCAGAAGAATGATTTGTGTGGATGTACTGTAGTTTCTTTAACTGATCTCCTATAGTCAGACACTCTTTCTATTCCAATTCCAGTTTGCATTTGAAAACCATAACATGCATATTTTGCTTGTCTTTGATAGTATAACTAGTATGACCTCCACAAGACATGAAGGTACAGGCAGTGCTGTCTCTCATCCTCATTCTTGTACCATCTCTAAGCAGATTTCACGGTAAGTTCCTTTATAATACACCCAGGTGTTAGTTGTTTGTATTCGGAGCTAGGAACATAAGCACACAATGCAAGGTGGGCAGTTTCCTCTGTAGCCATAGTATTGTGAACCTTTCTTTTTTGAAGATTTTATTTATTTATCTGACAGAGAGAGAGAGAGAGAGAGTGCATGAGCAAGGGGAGTGGCAAGCAGAGAGTGAGGGAGAAGCAGGCTTCCCACTGATCAAGGAGCCTGATATGGGGTTCCATCCCAGGACTCTGGGATCATGACCTGAGCCAAAGGCAGAAGCTTAACTAATGACCACCCGGGTGCCCTGCATTGTGAAATTTTCTAAAAGATCACTTAATGAGAAATAGGAAAACAGAGTAGAGGTCCTGCATGAAGATTAAAAATGGTATTTTCTCCTATCTACTGTAAGGCTTTTTCTAATCAGTTATCTGCTACCAATATAAAGTCACTGGAAAGCCAAGTTTGATTGATTGATGATTGATTTTTTTTTTTTTCAAGTGTAAGCTTGGTACTTAACACTTTACAGAAGGCATTATCCCCTTTACTTGGTCTTGTGATGAGCATTTTTAATTACCTAAGGGAATATTAGAGGTGCTTAGTAGAACAATTAGGGAGATTGATACCAACCACTCCTTTCCCCCCACCTTTCCGTGTCGTTCTCTCAACAAAATATTTGCAATCCCTCTAGCTCTGTACAGAAATAAACTAATTCTCTCTGAGGGAGAGAAGTGGGAGATAACAGAGTGGGAAGGGATCCAGAGGAGGAGGCAGAGGAGAAAGACTGTGATAAGCCACAGGAGCGCTCAGTTCTTCCATCGCGGGTGGTCTTGCCCAAGGGCCGAAGGAATTTACTCCCTCATCTATAACATAAGACCCTTTCCAGCTCTATTATTCTAAAATCTGTAGATAGGCTACATAATCTACTTAACATATTTTATGAATTGGTCAAAGAAGCTGGATGTTGCCTTCAAGGATTATGAAATGCCTAAATATATTTTCTTTGCAGAAACCTTGATTGCGATGAATCCATCTTCTTTAAAAAAGTAATTTCTGAAGTTAGTAATAAACTATATGTATAAATTATAATACATATTTATGTATATATATGTGTGTATGTATCTCAGGGTGATCGGACTTCCACATTTATATCCAGAATAATGTTCCTTTACTATATTTCAGTTGACTCATAGGATATCTGGAGAGCTGTCCTAAGGCCAAAATAAATGAGTCACTTTGCTTCCCCTTTTGGACTCCTCCTGCTCATGTATTCCCTTGCTTGAAGCTAATGTCTGCATATTCCTAACAGATTCATGAATCGAACATTGTCTTCTATGTACTCCAAATATTTTCTAATGAAACCAAGTTAAATGTGTTCTAATCTTTTAGAGCCTGCTGACTCTAGTTAGCTGGATAAACTAATTGGTTATTGTTGTAGTAGATGTTAAAAGTGAATTTGTCCAGGAATAAAAATCAGGAGGAGTCTTTTGTATACATAATATACAATTACAAAAACTCAAACACAAGCTTCATGGCTTGTTTCTAGTACTCAGACTAGCAAGGGTTCTTGATGGTGTGGTCTGTTAGTGATCAGGCTGCAGACCCAGGATAGTTCTGCTAGGTGGTCCTGATGGAGCCCTTGATAAGCACCCATCACTAATTCTCTTCATACCTGCTCTTGATTTTTAGATACATTCCTTTTAGCTTCCCCTAATCTTATAACTGCTGAGGAAGAGCAAATAGTCATTGGAAGACTTGGTGAAGATATAATTCTCCCTTGCACATTTGAAAGTGAGCCTGAAGTTGTAATTCACTGGAAAAATCAAGATAACTATGTTCACTCATACTACAAAGGCAATGACTATTTGGAAGCACAAGATCACAGATACATGAACAGGACATCCCTCTTCCATGGAGAAATTCACAAAGGAAATGCCTCTTTATCTTTAAGAAGATTAAGCCTTCTGGATGAAGGAATTTATTTATGCTATGTGGGAACAACATCTAGAAAAATCATAAATAAAGTGGTACTAAAGGTGGGAGGTAAGTAAGTATATGAGGTTTTCCAAAACATAACAAGGATATCATTCCATGTTTTTCTGAAATACCTTTTCCTTGATTGAATATGCTGTGGGCTTCCTTCCAAGTCAATAAATACATATCTACGTCATTTTTTAAATGCATGGTATCTTGTAGTATAAACATGCTATAATTGATGCACCCATTCCTCTCCTGGTAGATATTCAGGTCTTTCCAGTGTTTTACATGACACATGTTGTGAGGGGCATTCTTGTATTTAATAGTAGGAAATGATCTGAAAGTAAAGTATCAGAAAATTTTAATACATGACTTTGACCAGCAGCATAAGAGCATCCATTTTCCCCTTAGTTTTATCAGCATTCATTTCTGCCCATATGGTATCTTTTAAAAATGTTGAACTATTGGCTTATTTAAGGGTAATTTTAATATTATATACTTTCTTCTTGTCTGTATTAATTTTATGACTTATTTATGAGGGGAGGGGCATTTTCTAGTGGGTTGTTTCATCCAGCACTTGTTTCTTCTTCCTCTGTCTCATTTAGCTGCTTCAGACCTTGACTCAAAAATCTGAGAATCATGTGTAAACAAAGAATTAAAAAGACTCTGAGTTATTACCTGGAGAGTACAGAGTGCTGCATGAGCTCTAGTTTCTATTGGTTGCTCAGCGAGGTCATTAGATTTCTTTTTAGAACTCTTTTTTTTTTTTTAAGATTTTATTTATTTATCTGACAGAGATCACAAGTAGGCAGAGAGGCAGGCAGAGAGAGAGGAGGAAGCAGGCTCCCTGCTGAGCAGAGAGCCCGATGCGGGGCTCGATCCCAGGACCCTGGGATCATGACCTGAGCCGAAGGCAGAGGCTTTAACCCACTGAGCCACCCAGGCGCCCCTCTTTTTAGAACTCTTGCTAGGGAATTAAGATTGCTAGTTGCTACGTTAAATATCCATGAATGCTTTTTTTTTTTTTTTCATTTGTAGATAAACACAGTATATCTTAAGTTTCTCTTGAGCTTTGGTTTTGTTTTTCTGTTAGTAACTGCCAACTTTTGCTCATTAGGCTCATCTTTTCATTTCATGGGTATTAAAGTAGTAAGTGTGCTGCACAGATGGCTTAAGAAGAAGCTAATGACAGTCCCTCGTATGCCCCTCTTTCTCCCTCCTAGCTTTCATCACACCTGTGATGAAATATGAAAAGAGGAACACAGAGAGCTTCTTAATATGCTGTGTGTCAAGTTATCCTCATCCACATATCTCATGGAGAACGGACAATACAACCATCTCTGAAAGCAGTAAGGAAGAAATTGAAACTTTGGATCCTTTTCATGTTGACAGTATGATAAATATTACAGGATCAAATGTATCTTATGAATGTGCTATTGAAAACTCATTACTGAACCAAACATGGACAGGGGGATGGACAATGAAAGGTAGGCTCCATTGGGCTTTCTGTGTGTACGTGCTATGTCAGAGGTTGGGAGGAAATGAGGATTGATTTATAGGGAAAAAATGGAACACAAAAGAAAGAAAATGCATCTGCTCCAGTGAGAAGACTGAGACTGACCGACTCTATTATTTACTGGCTCTGAACACTACTTCCTCACTAATAAAATAGAAGTAATTCCTACCTGCTAGGTGTAGGATGTGTGAAATGGAAAGTAGTAAACCTATTTATGAACGTTATTAAAATATTATTATATTTATCTCTGATTTATCTTCTTTTTAAACTTCATTTTATTTGAGAGGAGGAGAGAGAGAACAATCAGGAAGGAGTGGCAGAGGGAGAGGGAGAAGCATGTTCCCTGCTCAGCATGGAGCCCGATGCAGACTTAGTCCCAGGACCTGGGATCATGACCTGAGCCAAAGGCAGATGCTTCACCGACTGAGCCACCCAGCACCCTCTGTGATTCATCTTCCAAATAGGATTTCTACCTGCATTGCACTTCCAAAGATCTGAGAAGAAAGCTTGCCTATTAGGTCACAATCTGTGATGCTTGCCAATCTTTCAACTAAATAAAAATTCACTAGTATTATTGCTTCTGTTTATTCTCTTTACATAGTATTAGCCCATTAAGCTTTATCAACAACTCTGTCATAGCACGAGCATTTTTAGTACCCCTTCCTCTCATTTATTTGAACAAATGGAAATTCTGATCAATCTCTACATCACCTACTATTTAAGATGAAGAGGAAAAATTAGTTTGACATCTTATCCAATTTCAAGAAAAATGTTCTATATTTTAGAAGCAAAGCAAAATGTTTTACTAAATCCCTATTACATGGAGAAAGTGGGGGTCAGCTATCCTTTTTGGTCTTCTTTTCCTGAATTTCATATTCTCAAGTGCTTGCAAGAAGACCCTAAATTAAGAGTGATTCACCACCTTTACATAATCCATATTGAAGGCATGGTCACCCAATGTTCACTTTTCCAGGCAGCAAAGGAACCATGGGAAAGTGTTGGAAATGTTCATACTAAATTATAAATATCTTCTAAGGAAAATCATATTTTCTCATGTTTATTTGGAATTCAGTATCCAGAAGCATCCACAGTTCCTTAGGTTCAGTGCTATGCTGTCTTGCTGAGGAGTCATTATATGCTATGTATGTTGCTTGCAGACTGTGAACACTTGGGGTGCCTGGGTGGCTCAGTCATTAAGCATCTGCTTTCAGCTCAGGTCATGATTTCAGGGTCCTGGGATCAAGTCCTGCATCAGGCTCCCTGCTCGATGGGAGCCTGCTTCTCCCTCTCTCTCTCCCCCTTCCCTTGCTTGTGCTGTCTCTCTCTCTCTCTCAAATAAAAATCTTTAAAAAAAAAAAAAGAGTTCATTTTCATATTTTCATATTCATTTCTGGATCCACAGCATCTAGTACAACCCTGTAAACACTACACTAGGAAGGTAGCATACAAAGGAAGCAATTAATTCTGTTCACTGTGGTTGGGTATAAACAGGGTTGCTGGAGAATATATGCTTAAGGAGGCTGCATATGGGCAGAAGTTTAAAGGAATAGCAGGGATTTCCAGAGAACACAGGCATTCCAGATTCAAAAACACAAAAGCACGGAGGAGTAAATGTCGCCTGTATTTGTAGAAGTGTAAGTGGTAGAGGGTGAAGCTAAAGTAGCAAGAGATAAGCCTGAAGAGGGAGTCAGAAACTAGACGGAAGGCCTTGATCTTGCTCAGGAACTAGACCAGGATTCCAGAGGTGGCATGGAGCCAAAAAAGGAGTTTTGAAGTATTGGAGAGACCTGGACGTGCATTTTAGATAGGTTTGTTTTGGCATACTCTCTCACAGGTGGAATGTGAAGCAAGTGAGTCTAGAGCTTCGGCAGAAGAAGTCGTGGTAGTGCACAGAGGTCAGCTTACCGAGCTGCAGAACTGGAAGGACAAGATAGAGCTGGATGTGGAGGAGCAAGCTGAGAATGTCCAGCAGAGCCCCTCCTCTCACAGAGCTCAGTCCAGTGGGGGCTTGCCTGTACACAGCTGGAAATAGACTGCTAATGTCAGGAGAAGAGACTTGTGCAGAGAGTGATTAAGAAGCAGTTGAGACCAGAAGAGACTACTAGAGAGTAGACAGAGGGAAAGGGGGAAGGTCCTGGGGAATACCAGCGTTTGAGGGGTCAATAGAAGAACAACATTGAGTTCAAAAGCCTGGTAGTTGGTAGCAACATTCTTGAGTGCTCACTGTCAGGCTGCAGGAGTTAGAAACCAGGAGTGTCACCTCGCTAGCTAGCCCAGGCTTAGGTCTCTTCGAAGGTCTAAACTTAATCATGGTAAGTTTAAACTTAAATGGTGGTGGCACAGCTTCTTTCAAGAAACCATTTCCAAAGGTATTTCTCAAAGCATTTCTATGTATAACTTAGAAAATTCATTTGAAAATTGTATTTTCATTGATGTTTCCTTTTCTATCCCATTATTAGATGACCTTCATAAAAAACAAAGTGAAAATTTTTCACTTTCATGTGAACTTACAAACAGTATTTTTTTACTGGATCAAGACTTCATAGTCTCTTGGTCCAAAGTGGAAAGAGAGACCTCCTCTATCCTGGCTTACTTTCTGAGCTCCTCACAAAATACAACCATCTATGAACCCCGAGTCTCCTGGAACAAAGAGCGAATAAACCAGAGTGACTTTTTCTTGACTCTGAAGGATCTTAGAGTTTCAGACAGTGGGGAATACTTATGCAATATTTCTTCAAGCAAATACACTTTACTTACCATCCAAACACTGCATGTAGTAGGTAAGTTACAAGTGGGGTTGGATAACTGGTTTTGGCTATAGCAATATAGCAGTAGAGATTGTAACTATCAAACAGGGAAATTAGGTTGTCATTTAAAGAATTTTGATTAGTACTTCTGAAAATGTAGATCCTACAGGAATACTTTTGGTGAAGATGGTAGTCAACCTCCTTCTTTCAAACACACAAAAGTCCTTAATTGAAAAAAAAAAACCTATTCCCATAAGATTTCCTTTTCATGGTTTCAGGGCTTTAGAAATGAAGGGGGAACCTACATGATTTGATGACTTGAGCCTAAGCATCCTCAATTCCTGTCTACTTCTGTGCCTGACACAGGCTTTAGGTCCTGGGGTCTGGGGAGTTGAGGCTTCAGGCACAGTAAGAAGTTAGAACTGGGGCTCTGGTAGATGCTGGGGAAGCATGGCCTGGGAACTCGGTGGACACAATCACCAAAGGACATTGGAAACACTAAAGGTACACCTGATTCTGCTCTTTTTTCTTTAATCTCTAGTAATAGTTAACTGCCAAAACTCTTTAAAATATTTCTAGTTTATTCTCTATAGAGTCATGGCACCTGTACCCATGAAGTTGACTTTCTAAGTGGGCTGGTTGATCCCCTCACCCTTAAGCTATCAATTTGATATCATAGGACATAGTGGCAGCTCTCTGTTCTTTATTAAATATATTTGAGCCAGTGGGACATGTGTTTTAAAAAACATTTCTATCAGGGCACCTGTGTGGCTCAGTCGATTAAGCATCTACCTTTGGTTCAGGTCATGATTCCAAGGTCCTAGGATCAAGCTCCATGTCAGGCTCCCTGCTCAGCAGAGAGCCTGCTTCTTTCCCTCTCCCTCTACCTGCTGTTCTGTCTACTTGTGCTATTTCTCTGCCAAATAAATAAGATATTTAAAAAAAAACAAAAGCATATCATTCTAGTTGTGAAAATTGGGAATAACAGATTTGGAGGTTCAGTGATTCTATGTAGTGAGATTTAGAGGTAAGAATATGGAGTTGTCCTTAGGTCAAGTGGCCTTCAAATAAAAGCTTCTAGACACTGAGGGATGATTCCCCCTTTGTGTAGAGCTGTCATTTTGAGAGTGCTGAAAACTGGGGTGCAGTTGAAGCTCCTCTCTTTCTCCCAAATAAAAATGTTAGTTCTCTGTAAAATCTAGATAAGCTTACATTCTATCTTTCAAATGTTGCTTCATGTTGGATTCATTTTGGAGTGTAGAAAAAAAAAACAAAAAACAGGAAGATATGGTCTGAAGACCACATATGATCCATCTTTCTAACCAGAGATTTAATTTTTAGTTTACACAAAACAAAACATCAGGACCATTCCATCTCTGACAAAAGAAGCTTTTCAGAACCTCTGAATTCCCAAGTAAACCCTGGCCTGTTGAGACTGGAGGAGGGTCTGTCCACACTTCCCCCCAGAAGAAAGAGGTGTGTGGCAGGAGCTACCCCAGCAGGGCAGAAAAGAGGTCAAGCACTACTAGTATCCTAGATATCACTCTTTCAAAGAAATTTGGTTTCTATTCTGAATCACAGTTTTCTACTTGTCTTACCCAGGAGATACAGCAGCACTTGAAAAGGAAGCCCAGATTGGGTGGTAAGGGGAGTTATGTTTCTTAGAGTCTAGATCTATTCAATACAGGTTGCATGGAATTGAATGGAATTGAATAATCCTTGCTAAATTTTGCTGCTGAATCACTATGTGATGTTGGGCAAATCTCTTTACAGTGGAGGAAGTGAGGGTGACGAAGTAAGACAATGCTATACTTTGCAGGATTTTCTTCAGGAGGAAAAGTATACACCTTTTTTTTTTTCCTTTCTAGGATTTTATTTAGTTGACACAGAGAGAGAGAGAGCACAAGCAGGAAGAGCAGCAGGCAGAGGGAGAAGCAGGCTCCCTGCTGAGCAAGGAGTCTGATGCAGGACTCAATTCCAGGACCCTGGGATTATGGCGTGAGCCTAAGGCAGGTGGTTAACCGAGTGAGCCACCCAGGGGTCCCAGAAAAGTATGCATATGAAAACACTTTCAAAGTCAACATTTCCACTTAATTGCTCATTCTTTATATGGGTATACAATTTCAGAATGATACCAATATGTGTAGAGATGAATGTTTTAGTGGTTACAGAACATTATTAATAAAGAGTATGTTCATAAAAATGGACATCTGTTATATGAAAAATAGCCATAAACACCTTTTCACCTTGAATCGGCCTGTGTGTTCTAATGCTTGCTCCTACTCTATGGCAGAAGGTAGATCACAAGATTAACAGGTTCTGACTTGAGTAACTCAAGGTCTCCAAGTTTCTGCCTTCTGGGGTCCTACTTCCTTTAATACTAATTACAACAATTATAGTTCCAACAAAGATGCTGAAAAAACCCCAGCTCCTGCAGTGATTCTGAGGAGCATCAAGCACTCTATTATCCTGGTGTTCGCCTGTCACCTTTCACTCCGCTCCACTGATCCCCTCTGCACTTACCCTGTTTCTCTATGCCCCTGTCTTCTCCAACCCTGCACTCTGCTCTCCCTTCATCCTCCAAGGAGGATGCTGGGCTGTGGATAGTCTGTAGTCATAATTATTCCTTTGTAACAGTGTGTTAACTCTCTTTACAATATGAAACAATAGAAACTCACAATGCATAATACACTCATTGCTTCTCAAGTTTGCAACCTTTTTCTCCCCAACACCCACCTCCTACCAAGCCATTCTGACTTATGCAGGTTTCCCACAGTAGAGACATTGAGACTGGGAGGTATTTATGCTCATAAATGCAGAATTAACTAGTTTTTAAAATCATAAATTGTGTTCTTTGGTAATTTTTCTTCCAGCTTACAGACTTTTTGTTTTATTTAGAACACAGTCAAAGCAGAACCACCTGGATAATTATTCTGTCTTTGGTGATTTGGGGTTTCCTGACAATTTGCATACTCTATATGTTAAAAAGATACAACTGTTCCAGGAGAGGTAGGTATCTCATGGAGAATATGAACTCCGTCCCTCGGTGTACAGGCAGAGGTTATCAAGGATGACCTACAGATAACCCTACATGGTTGTTGGACATATAAACAGTTCTGAATTTTCTGGACAGTCGTTTGTAAAATTTATCAGAAATCATTTAAAATGCTCCCACATTCCCAGCTAACTATACTGCTAGCAAATTTATCCTGAATTAAATGGTTAAAGATGTAACAAGCCATATACAAGCACATGCATTGCAGCACCCTGAAAAAATTTAAATCTAGCACTAAAATAATACACAGAATTACCAAAATTATCTTGCATTGAAAAATAGATGGAAAGAAATAAGCCCAAGCTTTAAAAGTGGATGCCTTTGGAAAGAGTTTGTCCCTATGTCTAGACTTACTTTCGTCCCTGCACTCTGTTTTCTCGTTCTTTGAGCTTTGTCTATGGTATTACTGCTTTGTCTTTTATGGGCCATTTTATTTTAATCCTTGTTGCATTTTTAAAACACTTTTTCTAGATTTTCTGCAACAAAACTTGGGTTACTTACAGGTAATTTAAAATGATACATTAAGATGCTATGGTCACAGGACTTCTTAGAAGGCTTGACTTTTATTGACAGAATTAAATCTAGGAAAAACTTAGTTTTCTACTTATTCCCAAATTTTATAGACCAGGAAAGTGGAATCCAAGAAGTTAGGGGCATGAAACAGACTTCTCTATACCACTTAAGGAGACCCAGCTGCTTTCTCTTATTCTATAATCTGAGATGCCTGAGTGTCCTGGGAGGTTGAGATAAATCCCATGTCCATTCCTCTGATTGATAATTGCCTTTTGCCCCTGATGAAGTTAGGAGATTTGGTAATAGGAGACACCTTTATTCCCTTATTGAAAGTAAGATATTAAGCATGACAGTGAGTAAGAGTTTCACCAATTTCACCCTTTGACTGTTTATACTAATAGGAAGGCCATGCTAGCTTATTACTGGTTCCTCCTGTCCCTTAGCTGGCCAGAAGTGGAAAAAGATAGGAAATCATAGGCAAGTCTAGTTTGTCCCCTAGGGTTCAAATTATATGACAGAGGGGCACTACATACTGCTCCAGAATGACAGTTTAGTTTCTATACTGGAAGTGTGCAAAAGTCAAGTCTCAACAGAAAACGCCTGGCACACTCAAAACTGTACAAAGGGGAACACAGAAGATCGTTCATTTCCCCAGAGCTGGGAGCAGCTGATTGCCAGCAAATCTAAACAAGTAGAAGGTGCCATTACCAAAACCCAGAAGAAGAGAGTCCTGTAAAATCAGATGCCTTGTAGGGAGAGTAACTTTTACTTGAAGGACATAGCCAGACCAAGGCAACCTTACAAGGAAGGCCCTGGAAGACAAAAAATGTGGTATTGCCCTTCCCTCTCTGTACTCTCTATTCCAACTGGAAAGGAGAGGGAAAACACAGCCTATGGAAGGAATCCGTCCGGGTCAGCTATGCAGGGCAGAAACAGCAGGCTGGGTTCTGATTCTGGAGGAGCAGTCTGGAGCGATCAGCAAAAACAGTGTCAGGGTATTGGCTATTTAAACAATGCTCGATAACTGTGTGGTTAGATAGGCTGAAAATATATTTCAAGCTGTTACACTCAAGGCCCCCAAACCTTGCCCACCTCTAGGTCCCTGGTTATAGTTCCGTATGACCATGATATGTGTTTTCTTTTTTAAATTCCCTTTTCTAGAACTGTTTTAAAACGCTTTTAGTCTAGGATAAGTATAAATTATCCTAGATTTTAGCAAGGCACAAAAGGAAGGCCTTCCTTGGAAAACAGCATTGTACCCGTACCTTTTTCTTTTGCTATCGATGGACTTAATCACCACCTCCTTGGCTGTTATTTTCCATTGTTAATGGTTAGTAGGACTCAGGCCAACTATCCTAAAGAGCCAGGAATTCCTGGCCTGGCTGGACAGCTTTTATCCCTGTTTTGGTGCACCTGAATCAGCCATAAGAATTTATTGTTATTTGTAGCTACTGAGGTATTTCTACACTGCATTTTTAAGGCTGTTTTTTGGAAGAAAGATATGAAAGGGGGAATAACTAATGTGCATCTAATAACAATTGTACTGAGGCAGGAATAAAAAAATGAGTGTTTGCAAAAAGATTTTTTCTAAGTTTCGCTTTTTTTTCCTATAGAAAGGTCTTCTGTCTATACTGAGAGGGCCAACACTGCTGATGCAGAAGAAAGCAAGGTAAAGCTTTTTACTTCATCAAACAATTATAGCATAAGAATGCTACTGTGAAAAAGTAATCGATACATATATCATCTCGCAAGACTTTGACAGAGGAATAAGAAAGGGCGAGAGGGATCATGGGGTAACAGAACAGGAAAAAAATATGTAATTAGGGCTCTACTTAAATAACTGGCTGCTCTTCTCATTTTCTGTTGTTACTTGTGGAGAAGATCTGAGTGGCACTGTGCATATGATGGGAAACCAGTGTACCTATTCTTCCGGTGGAAGCACGGAACTGTATAGAAGTAGAAAGAAATATAAAGTGAGAAAAGCAGATTACAGTTTCTACCCAGAATCAGTTGGCTTGCCTTCCCTATTTGTCCAACCTCTTCTAAGCTCCTTGGGGACCCATAATTCCCTTACGAATTATAGTTTACTTGCAAATTCGGTTGTTTAAAATGGAGTTAAAACTTTTTGCCACACACCTTTTATTATGAGTTCCATTAATCAGAATATAAATAAGAGCAAAGAGTGGGGTAAACTCTTTTCTCTACTGGTTAAAAACTCAACAACTAGGGACACCTGGGTGGCTCAGTTCGTTAAGCTGCTGCCTTTGGCTCAGGTCATGGTCCCAGGGTCCTCGGATCAAGTCCCGTGTTAGGCTCCTTGCTCACCGAGGAGCCTGCTTCTCTCTCTGGCTCTGCCTGCCACTCTGCCTGCTTGTGCTCTCTCTCTTCTGACAAATTAATTTTTAATATCTTAAAAAAAAAAAACCCAGGAACTAATCTAGAAGGGTGATTACAATTGAGCCTTTATAACTACTTACAACTGTCTCATAGTTCTCTGATTACAGATGCAGACAATAGCTCCAAAGCTCCCTACTTCCAAAAACCAAAACAAAACACTATCATCATTAAATGCTTAAGATAAAAATGGTTATTCTGACATGAACCCCAGCCATTTAAAATCCATTTTTCTTGGTTCTAGGCTTTTACAGAACACCCAGCTAGTAGTGGAAAGTAAGACAGAACTGTATCAACCCATGATGAGCATCCTTAATATCCAGTGACTTCGCTTCCCCTTTCTTTCACTGCAATTCCAGCGGGGGCTTGTCATGGCCTAATAATTCTACCTTTGGAAAGACTTGCAACCATTGAGTTTCCCACTACCATATTTCCTCTTCAAGTCCCAACTATTACTCACTGACTCCATACCTACATCAAGATTATGAATGCCTGGATGTCAGTTCCAACTAGAAAAGAACTGTTTTCATTCAGTGGCACTCCTGCTGCAGTCAGTCCAGGAGGCCACACTGAGGTTGCCACCAAGATCTTGGAAGAAATGTATCACTAAGCACTGATTCAAAATCTGATCAACTAATGATGGGTGAGAGAGCACATAGAAGCAGAAATCACCTTAGTGAAAAGGTGAAAAATCAGGGAACTTGATATGCTGAGGTATTGTACTCATTTTATATGAATAGTTAATATCAGCTTAACCAACTAGATTTAATATGGTGAGTCTTAGGGACTCCAAAGTTTAAAAATGTCAGTATCTCCCAAGATTGCCTAGAGCAAAGGGCCCTATCAACTCAAGAACTGACAACTCTGGGGGGGGGGTGGGGGGGTTATGCCTTCCAACGTCAGGTTTACATAGATGAGTGACATTAACTATGAAGATAATTTGACTCACTCTTCTGACTCAGTTGTCATATTGTTAATCAACTTTATGATAAATTTAGATTTCCACATAAATTTTTACACACAGGGAGAATGGATAACCCAGCTGACTTGATGATCTCTCCCCTTTATTTTAATCAATTTATAAGAAAGAAAAAGTCTAACCAGCATTTTAGTGACTTAAGTTTTGACCCTATAGTTTATAGGAGGAAACCAACCCTGAATTGTGCATAATGCTACCTGGCCTGATTTTCTCTAAGTACTAACATCATTATAAAGAAAAACTTTAACTGTAAGGAGAAAATGCTCACAACTGCTATACTCTTCTTAAAAATGGAAAGAACAAAGTCAACAAATTGAGGATGGCAGACAAGAATGAACCTGGGTCCTTCAATGCTATTGAGCCCCTAAATTAATCTCAGAGCCACTTGTATTAGTCAAGGTTGGGGTCAGAGAGGCAGAATGCTGAGAACGACAGAGAATAAAGACTTGTTATATGGAAGCAACCTCATATAGTTCTGGGCACCTGTGAAGAAGACTCCATCAAGCCATCCCTTCTGCATCTGGGGCTGGGCCTAAAGTACCTGGAAATCGGCTCTGTCAGTGGTCAAGAAGGAGCGCTAGATATGGAGTGAGGATGAAAAATGAACAATTCCTCCTTCACTTCTCCCTCTCAAATCTAGTGACAATTTCTCTTGTGACCAGCTCTAACCCAGAACCACACAGAGAAAGGAAATCCAGGAAATGAACCTCCTGCTTAGCCACATGGCATAATACAAAGCCAGCATTCCCACCTGTCACTCAACTATCTTGTGTGAGAAGCTGCTTCCGTGTTGAAAACCTGCACCAACAGCTACCTAGGTATACCTAGGCCCTACCTAGGTATAGACTGGGAGGAGTTAACCTCCAAATCTAAGTGCCTGTGACTATAGTACATCACAGTGCTAAAAGGAAAGTTTATCAACTCCTACCATTGGTGGCTAAAAACATAGAGTCATGGATGAGTCAATAAAAATTTGTTAACTTTAGTAATTACAATTTACCAACATACCCTAGGCCTCATGGCCCATGTCTTCTGTAAATATTACTCATTAAGAGGCAATATGGACAAAAGAATGGGTTTCATTTTTTAATGTCAGAATGTAAATGATTTTTATATTAATCTTTTATGTAAAATGTTTACTTGTATTTGAGGATCTGAAAAATCCCCATTAACCTTGGAAGCAAAGATACTCTCTTACATTTCCTAATCACCTTGTTTAAACTGGTTTCCACACCACATAAACGTTTTAAATGCTTGTTTCAAATGCACCTGAAGTTTTCAGACATTAAATGGTACCATCGTTGGACTTGTCCAGCCTCTGTCCTTCCTGAGCAAAGGACTTCTTATTCTTCATGAGTCTGAAAAACAAAATATGAGTGTGCTCTCTGAGATTGCTGCGACTTTCATCGGTGGTACGCACACCCAGAATGAAGCCCAGCCCTTTTTGGAGTAAGCAGGCCTGAGCCAAGTCCTCATTACCTTCAAAGGGAGGCAGGGAATTGGAAGCAATTATATGCATTACAGAAAGCAGACACAGGTAATTCGTCTGAAGGATGGGCTTGGACACTCTCCATTTTCTGCCCACCTAGCCTTGGTGGTAAAGGCAGCGCCCTCTACCAAAGACTCCATGAGGGAAAGACTGTGGCCACATCACCAATTGGCTCCACAGCCCAGAGAGACACCCAGTTCTATCAGAAAAAACGTTTTTGCTTGTTTTATGGCAGTTAAGAGATTTTTCAGGCTTTCCTTCTGAGAATGGGGAACAATTAGTCATTGCACCGCCAAGGATGGTTTTACTAGTCATCTCGGGTATGTCTAAGAAGCAATTTCTGCTTCACTCATTTTATTCTTTGTTGGAAATAACTGTGACAAAGTCGAATACATTACAAATGTTTTGCAGCCCTTTTGGCCTCTTCCAGCTGAGCACAAGCGTAACACATGTGAGGCATTTCCCTAAACAAAACCATTAAATGGAGTTGATGGGCAGGCCCTGCCTCTAAGACCCCAAATCCAATGCCATGACCCTTCTCAAATTGAGGGCAGAGTTCAAACCACTTAAGTGGACCTCTGCTCACAGGCCTTATCCCTGAGACAATATTCAGGCAGCAACAAGAAATCTCTGGAGTGTGCCAATGACTCATGCTTCTCAAATTTAGATCTAAATGTATTCAATATAACCAACTTTTAGATTCTCCTTCAAAAGATTATTTTGACCTCCTTTCAGGTCGTACGTATTATGAACAACCCTATCTACTTATTTTGCAGAGTTATTAGTAATTCATTTATAATAAGAGGAATAGGTATATACCAAATTTTTAAAAATGAAATGGTACCTCTCTGTGCTAAGCACCATGTTAAGTGCTTTATAGGCATTCCATAACAGGCAGCTGATGGCGCATTATACGATGTTTTTCCATTCATTTCTCCTAAAGCCAGATCTCATTTAAAGACCCTGTTTGTGGGATATCTCAATAAGAAAGCCGGGACTTCCTGTTTTGTTTGTATAACCCCCAAATTCATATGTTGAATGGTTTCAGGAGGTGGGGCCTTTAAGTCCTGAGGATGGAGTTCTTGTGAATAGGATTAGTGCCTTCTAAAATAATCCCCAGAGAGCTTCCTCCCCATCCCCATCCCTTTTACTCTGAGGACCCAGTGAGAAAAGGGTCATCTATGAGGAAGGGGCCCTCACCACGGACTGAATCTGCCAGCACCATGATCCTGGACGGCCCAGCTACCAGAACTGTGAGAGATGTTTATTATTTATAAGCCACCCAGTCTCTGGCATTGTTACAGCAGCCTCAACAGACCCTGACAAGCCTACAGGTCAGTGGTCTTTGTCATGCTGCCACTATGCTAGTAGAGTTAGGGTGGCAACTCCAACCCTGGGATCAGAATAGTAGTGTTGAGAACCACAGATATGGAAATACCCTTCTCTCTTGTTTTAGGACAGAATGAGGGGAAAAGCAGAAAGCTAGAGAGGACAAGTACATTTATTCCCCACTACCTCAGCTTTAAACCTCAGCACCCAGATCTCCATACTGATCCAGTATGAAGTCATCTACATAGAAAGACTCAACTCCGTTTCAAGGAGATCTATCTGTGCTTTTAAAATTGCCTTTGTAGGGAACCTGGGTGGCTCAGTGGGTTAAGCCTCTGCCCTCAGCTCAGGTCATGATCTCAGGGTCTTGGGATCAAGCCCCATATCGGGCTCCCTGCCCAGCGGGGAGCCTGCTTTCCCCCTCTCTCTGTCTGCCTCTCTGCCTAATTGTAATCCCTCCCTCTGTCAAATAAATAAATATATTTTAAAAATAAATAAGTAAAATAAAATAAAATTGTCTTTGCTCTCTGAACTCCTGACTGTTCTACACAAATGGATCTAGGACCTAGAACTGAGAACTTACAAGTTCACCTGGAATTAAACATTTGAGAGGTAGAAATACAATGTACATTCCACTAGAATGCTTAGCACTGCATATTACCTGGACAAGGAAAATTTAGTAAATATGGGAAGACCTTAGCAGAACCTAGTTTTTGCTTTTTTCTCTTTAAAGTATTTTAACAAATAATTTCTTATTCTACTGGTTTGTGTAATGACATGAGCTCTAAACACACACACTTTAAGAATTATAACAGAGTTGTTGTATATCTGACATACCTTTTTTCTAAACTCCTTTGCTTTGATCTTGAGTTTATTGACTTGAGATTCTGCTATCTCTGCTATCTCTGCCCTTTCCTTAGCATCATTCAACTCATGTTGCTGCTTCTTATACTTGGAAAGATATTGATTGGCTTGTGCTTCCTATAAAAATTAAAAAATAAAAAAAAGAGAAAAAATATCCCTGTGCCTGCACAGTCATTTTTTCTGCTTTGACATGAAAAAGTTTAAAAATGTGTGAAAAAAATCTAAACTTCTGAGTATTGAATGGAATATATTTTGGTATGATATATATGGATTCAGACTTTCTACTAGGCGTTAGATCAGCATGTTCCACATGTTACATGTAAGAAAACCACAAATGTTTCATGATCAGTTAAACATCCTGGTTTTTCTTTGAGTAGTGGGGGTTGGTCTTTAACCATTATAAGGTCAACAGGTAATTTGTGTTTTAGCCTGAATCATTGAAATAATCCAAAATCTCTCAAGAGATATTAGGTATAAACCAATATATATGGCACTTATGAATTACATTCTATGTAGCTATGGATATTAACCCAGGGTTGGCAAATACATTTCAAATGATGGTTGTTTGGTTCAGTTATGTCCAGGTTCATCAGGAAAAAGGACTATGATGCACATTTATGCTCACCCAAGGTTTTGGGGTAGGAAGGCCCCAAGGGGACTACCTGGCCAAAAATTCAACTATACAACACCATGTTCTTACTGGACTCTATTCTTGCAATGCACGTGTTTGAGTATAACCACAAGGTTGAAGGCAGCACTCTGACTCCCTGGAAGGAAAAGTAACAATTTTCTGAGCATGGGTGATAACTCTAGTTTGAGGAAAACTAGAGAATGAACAGACTTTAAGCTGAGCTGGTCCTCTCTAGATAAAATACTCACATATCTCCATTAATCAAGAACAATCGCTGGGAAATCCATGAGACTGCAACAGCCCCAGGTACTTACTGCTGCCTCCATTTGCTGCTTGTAACTTTGTACTTGCAGCTGAAGTTGATCCATCAGTCTGCATCCTGCTCAGATTTTTTTTGTCTTCCTCTGCCTGAAATGCATAGGTGAATATATGAAGATGATTTGAATGATCCAGCAGTCTGCATTGGGAGTTGCCTTCTAAGAAAATAAGAGTTAGGAAACTTTATTAAGCAATTTGAAAAATGGGTCTAACTTTATTCATCCCAAGTTTTGAGAAATTAACACAGCTCTGAGCA